TACATGTATGACATGACATCAAAAGAAAAGGCCCGGGCGGTTCAAATACTTCTATCCAGCTGTACCGGGCTCTCATGTGCTGCCTCGGGTTCTACGGGGCTCTAATTAGTTTAACTATGACACTAGAGAGTTCCACTTCTGAAAGTTCTGGCCACCTCATAAATGGAAATATTCCAATGAGAATCGCCGTATGTTAAGTCTAAAGAAATCATTGAATGGTTAAGATTGTAACCGCTTTAAACCTAAGGATCATCACATCATGTTGGATTATTCACTTCCGGTATAATTTACGTGCACGTAAACCCGTACGTAAATGTGAAAAGTTACGTACGGTTTCGTGAAACACCCCCTACGTAACTTACGTGCACTTAGTTACGTGCACGTAAATATTTACGGATACCCGTAACTTTACGCACGCGTCGTGAAACGGCACCCAGGGTTACATGGGTTACAATTGTAATACTATATTTAACACACACACTTACTTAGCTGATGTTAACGATATCTTTCTCTCGGAGACTGTACATGAAATTATAATTATTAAATTTCCAATTTTCATTTTCTCATTTGCCTTTTGGAGAAAATGAAACGAGCTAACATCTATGTATTAAAAAACTTCGCCCCGGGGACTTTCTGAACTTTTATTTGTTATCAAATGAAACTTTATTTTGAAATACAGACAGTACGATCTATTCTATTACGTTTCCATATGTATTAAAACCCTATATCGATCTGATTTGTATTTTTATGTGAATCTTAGGGGCTCATCTCTATTTTTTGCCTTATACACAGATACACAGATTGTATTCTGACTTTAAGACTATAGGAAAATCCTCTGCTGCCAGCTCAGTACGGTTTGAACAAATTCTGACAGGAGCAGGGACATACAAAGTATTATCTTAGTGGGTGTTAGAATAACATTAATAGTTAATAGTTGAGATGAAAAGTAAAGGCATATATTCCCAATTAGAGTAATTACGTGTTTTCACAACATTAATATGATAATTAATCAATTATATTAAATATTTTTTTTACTACTGGTGTCTATGGAGATTTTAATACTTCTGTTTTACTGAACAAAATGCTGTTAAAATACTACAACCACATTGTTTAACCTGGAACACTACAGTTAAGGAGTAACACCTGAGTCACATGTAGGCCAAGACAACTGTCATTCCTGGTAATCTTACAGAAATGAGTATGCTTTAAAACGTAAACAAGATATTTTATACTGAAATTAAATGAGATATCGTATATACCAGATGTGTATACAATATAGTTTCATATAAACAGGGAGGCAATGATGGTACAGTGTATAGGTATATATACTACAGGAAACACAAATACAATGTACCCCTGTCATCGCTATACAGATTTTTGATTAGTCCAACATTCCAATAATTCATACATGCGATACCATGTCATAAAACCAACATACATTAAAAAGCTGCTAGAAGCCACGCTAAAAAAATTATGCCAGACAATGTCTAAAATATTATGCATATAGTGATACGAATTTGAGAAACAATATTAAAACAATTACAATATATCCATTACTCAAAATTAATTTATGTTTCACTTATATATCTAAACAGCATATATGTAACAGATATTGTATCATTTATATTTATACATACATTTGTATATACTATTAAGCGCTTAATAATAGTTCTACAGTCCCCTGTGGTCCTTATACATACATTTGTATATACTATTAAGCGCTTAATAATAGTTCTACAGTCCCTTGTGGTCGCTATACCTACAGTTGTACTATAAAGCACTCAATAACAGTTCTACAGTCCCCTGTGGTCGCTATACATACATTTGTACTATAAAGCACACACTAATAGTTCTACAGTCCCCTGTGGTCGCTATACCTACATTTGTACTATAAAGCACTCAATAACAGTTCTACAGTCCCCTGTGATCGCTATACAAACAATGTACTTTAAAAGACACAAAGATATTTCTGCAATCCCCTGAGGTAGCCATGTGTCTGTGGTTTAGGAGAAGAAATAGCCAGACAGACAGACTTTCTTTATTTCCTCCTTTAGGAGATTTCATACGTCAAAATAATTTTACAAAATGTATATTACTTTATATGTCAACACAGTTTTGAGAAATCTGTACTTAATAATGACGTATTTGACATTCAAATAATTGCATTATACAATGTATCATCATGATACAGAATGTTCACTACATTCTCTTATTCCTCATAGTACCTTTAGATATATATACGTATACATTTATATATTAAAGTCATATAATGTAACACTGTGCGTTAGAATCGAAAGAGTGGTGAGTTTACAATGAAACACGATAACACTGCGCTAAATCAGAAGAGTATAAGACATAACATGAATGAGAAACAAGATAAAGTATTGGATTAAAAAAAAAAATCCGCCGTGCCGTAACAGCGACTGACATAGTCGTCTGCCGTGACCAGGATTCGAACCTGGGTTGTCGCGGCCACAACGCGAAGTACTAACCACTATACGATCACGGCTGTATAGGCGGATATGTATGTTAGATAACCTACACAGACTTAACTTACCACGTGAACCTAAACAATGGTAATCGTTGATAACATGTATTTGGGGCTACACACATAGTTATCTCAGAAGTATCTAAGAGGAACAAGGTCCGGTAGCAAATGTGGGAGTAGAAATAACCTAAATGGGTGGGGCGTTTGTACTTTTTTTTATCATAACAATGATACACAATAAAAGGATTTAAACTTACAATAACAATGTTTGAGTTTATCGATTGAAAAATCAAAGTTTTCATTTATTATGCAATGTAAAATGATGAATGGTTTTGTTAAGTGAATTTCGAATGCAGCAAGATTAACATCAAACAATCAAAACATAATTTCAACATTTTTTGCAATGTGAAATATTGAAGAAATATAATGAATATTTTCAAAACAAATTCTCAATTTGCATTTAAACGTGAGCTACATGTATATATAATAAGCAAAAATTATTTCGTTTCCTTCGATTGGCTCTTTGTTTCATTACATTTGCAGAAATCATTCTCAAAGATGCGCACGTATGTTCTGATAATATGGATCAATGTCATTATTGCTATAAAAATTGTACAGTTGTACACACGAAAACTGCGCTGTGATATCTGAGCTACATATCTGGTTCAGTGTCACTGTAAAACCATTGTAGGAGATATCAGATATCTAACCTTTACCTATCATTAAGATTCCTCCACGTTTTGTTTTTTGTCAAACCTTCCATTTACTTCCGGTTATTATCTCACCGTCTGAATCTTTCATCTTCACCCCACTCCCGCCACGTGACTAACAAAGGGTCTGGTTCGGAGGAGAGCTTGTCTTCAGTTGTCTGCTGGCGGCAACTCCTGCAGTTTGTTGCATTCCGAAGTTATACGAGGTAAGTATGCTCTGTTGAACACTATATATGTGTTGTAGTATTTTTATGATTTATAGCCCAATTGTACTGTCTCGTCATCATATAAGCGTTTATGACGATATGTTCTATTTTAGATTTACGCATAAATTAATAAAAAAAGCTAATTATAAGCATTTTTTTTCTTTTTTTTTGTAACAATGTTTGTTCATTTCATTTAAGTCTAGTTATTCTTTTTTTTTTTATAAATTTCTTTGTTTGAATATTCGCGTTAAATATCTTTGATTCAGTCCAAATTCTGAAAACATTTTGTCGAGGAAATGTTGATTACAGTAATGTGCGGTGTATGCTTATAACATAATGTGCAATAATTGAAAATTCTTGTACCATTGATACTTTTAGTTTTTAACGAAGTATTACACAAGAAAAGTCATTTCATAAGAAATGTATTCAGTTTCTGATTTATTCAGAAATTATGACGAAACTTCTGCATTTACAAATAAGATAGATAATAGGTACTTATTTTGTGGCATGAAAGACACTAAATTTAACTGTTTATGTTGCCCATGACTAACTGAAAGTATTTCTGATAGTGATGCGTTACACATATTCTTCTTATCACCTGAGGAGAGATTACCAGTCACTAAACATTGAAGAGGTCACGAATCTTTGTTATGTTACCTATGTCTGATTGTGCTGGGTTATGAGCACCGTGCACGTGACCCGGCAGCGTAATCAGGAACCAGGTGCCCATACCGGATGACCTTGGAGCCTTGGGGATCTCCTCCCTACGAAATACACAGCGCATTAGGGGAAACTTCAATTCGCTTTTGATAATATACATATGTTACTACGGAAAGACCTAGCTGGTTGTTTCAACATTTTTGGAAGTGTTACAATTTGTTCCCATTTATTCTTTTCATCTTGACACGCATGATTGGGACTACAGTGCACCTCTATGGTCTGTACAGTACAATCCGACAAATCAAAACGGAGTTTGCATACACAAACTTGAATGTGCGTTATTTCGGAGGCTGTTCTTCCATTTCGATTGATAGGAAAACATCCGACCATTACCTTGAAATAAATTGTGTACAGTGAAATATGTCTAATCGGAATAGACCAATAACAAATATTGCTGTTGAGAATATGTACAATGTTTTTGAATTACGTAATTTTATTTTTATTTTATACAATAAACAGCTGGAAATAATTGACAGCTTAGTTTAAGCAAGAACCTTGTATACACGAAGGATGACACTGGAATATTACCCTAGATAAAGAGTTACTGACATAAATGCATTTACCTGCACTCGAGACGTGTTACGTGAGAACGCTTCGTCTTCCGACACACATGATTTATATGTAGGTTTATGAAAAAAATTATTTAAACCTTACGATAAGATAATTAAACCTCATGTTAAGATAATTAAACCTTATATTAAGATAATCAAACCTCATGTTAAGATAATTAAACCTTATGTTAGGATAATTAAATCTCACATTAAGATAATTAAATCTTACGTTAAGATAATTAAACCTCATGTTAAGATATTAAAACCTTACGTTAAGATAATTAAACCTTATGTTAAGATAATTAAATCTCACATTGAGATAATTAAATCTTACGTTAAGATAATTAAACCTCATGTTAAGATATTAAAACCTTACGTTAAGATAATTAAACCTTATGTTAAGATAATCAAACCTCATGTTAAGATAATTAAACCTTATGCTAATATAATTATATCTCACATTAAGATAATTAAACCTTAGATTAAGGTAATTAAATCTCACGTTAAGATAATTAAACCTTACGTTAAGATAATTAAACCTCATGTTCAGATATTAAAACCTTATGTTAAGATAATTTAACCTTATGTTAAGATAATTAAATCTCACGTTAAGATAATTAAACCTAACGTTAAGATATTTAAACCTCATGTTAAGATAATTAAACCTTACGTTAAGATAATTGAAACTCCCATTAAGATAACTAAATCTAACGTTAAGATGATTAAACCTCATATTAAGATGATTAAACCTTACGGTAAGATAAATATACTTTATGTTAAGATCTTTAAACATCCCGTTAAGATAATTAAACCTTAAGATAATTAAACCTTACGTTAAGATTATTCTCCCATTAAGATAATTAGATTTTACAGTAAGATAATTAAACCTCACGTTAGGAAAATAAACCTCAGGTTAAGAAAATTAAACCTAACGTTACGATAATTAAATTTCACAGTTTAGATAATTAAACCTTACGTTAAGATAATTAAACTTCACATTAAGATAATTAAATCTCAAATAAATAAACTTTATGTTAAGATAATTGAACCTTCTGCTAAGATAATTAAACCTCACGTTATGATAATTAAACCTTACGTTAAGAGAATTGAACCTCTCGTTAAGATAATAAAACCTTACATTAAGATTTAATTAAACCTTACGTTAAGATAATTTAACCTTACATTAAGATGTTATCAAACTTCACACTAAGATAATTTAATCTCAAAGAAACAAACCTTAAGTTAGGTTAATTGAACCTCCCGTTAAGATAATGAAACCTTACATTAAGATAGTTAAACCTCACGTTAAGATAATTGAACTGGATGCTTATTGTCATTACTTCACTTGTAGGCGATGATGACTTTGCTGGTGTCCTCTTTATCATTCCATTTCCTGGCTATAGTAGTGATAGTAGCAGCATTTGAAGGTAAGCCTATGACGAATGTAGCTGTAGGTCACATTTGTCGATAACTTTCTCCTGGAATGTACGTAAGTAGTATTACATTGTATACAACTGAGTTTAGACAGTGGGACATGAGCACTGATCAGCTAGATTACATATCAGGCTCAGGACGAATACATTTAATGCTGATGATGCAGGTGGTGTTTATTAATTACTGCACTTATATTAGGAAGCGGCATGAGCTGTTTTGTGATATCCATAAATTTGCAAGTATACTACAATAATGTATACTGAAAACATTTTTTTTGATAATGATGGAAATATTGTGTGGTTTGTTATTTTTCCTGAAATAGTGTGTACTAAGATACAATTCTACATCGTATGTAGACATTGCTATTTGGTACATTATTGAGCTGCGATACAGCTGTAGAAGTTCATTTTAGTTAAATTTACTTCCCGATTCACATTGTTAGCATTTGCATGTTTTGTTTCCTCTTGTGCTATCGATGCAACTGCTGACGAAATCGTTTACGAATCCATGTTTTGTTCATCAAAAAGACATTAATTTCTTTTTGTATTTCAGATAACCATGTAGTTAGAGAATTCAAAAATATACAGCATGATTTTGGAAAATGGAAGTTATCGTTACACCCAGTGTATGCGACTACAAAGGAGGTGTATGATTTCAACGACAAGTTGGAATCTCTAGATCCTGATGAGTTTGACAGGATGAAGGTCAGTACAACAACACTTTCTAGTCTTAATTCGTCAAGCTATCATAACGAAACAACATTAATATAACTCTTCAATAGAATAGTTGCATTACACCATTTCTATTTTATTTCAAAAACTGTAAATCACATAATTTTCAGTCATAGGACATATCACGTTTGCATAGTGTTCACTGAGCTTTAAAACACAAATATTTACTATGCAAGTCAAAACTATTTCTAGTGCAGAATCTTCTTTAAGGGCGAAAATATAACTTTCTCTTTTACAGTAAAAAAATATGTTTATACATGTTGAAATTCCTGATAAATACGTTTTCATTGTAACTTATGAGTAAAAAATATTGAAGGATTTATCACAATATATGAGTAACATCAATCACACATTATTATAAATAAAGACATATTACGTTGATTTAATTACTATCAGTGTTCATATCTATTATCATACCACCATGGTGCTCTGTTTCATTGGTGGTCTCTACTTTATTAATACCAATAGTGTTCCAGTGCAATGAGTGAAATTTAAGCAGCATTATCTATTAATTCAGTATAATAGTATCTTTTCATTCAATTGTATGTCCGTTACAAAAAATACTGATACATTTAATGACTCTAAATTAACTTTCATACGAGATATTTGAATATTCATGATTTTGTAAATCTTTTGAGTTGAGATCTGTTTCATTGCACGGTAATTAACAGTCTCCTGAGATGAGTTCACACTATCTTACACGAAAGGCAGAACGTGCCTACTAACATGGTTTTTATATCGGCTACAGTCGATGGCTGAAGTCTTTGCTGGAAGATTACAACGATTACCGTATGAAAAAATGCCAAACGAAACGCAGGTTGATTACGACATTCTAAAACACACACTGCAGACATTCCTGGGCGGATACAAATGGCGCCTGTACGTATGTTTACCATGTTGGGTCATGCACACTCGTTTTGTTGTATTTTTATCGTGTTAAATCTCTTACAAAACCACCAAACAAAAGCGAAAAATATTGATGATGTAGTTATTATTGTTTTATAAACATACATGTATGTTACTAGAATTGTAAAGATTTGTGTTTTGGATACCCTTTCGATCACCCCTAACAATAACGTCTCACCTTTGCTAGACTCTGAGATGTATGAATACAGTACAGCATTAGCAGGGAATGGTCCCATCTACCTGGCCATGCATGATTATAACATACATTCGCAGTTTTCATGATGACATTGCAAACTGATTGTCATTATAAATTGTTCGTTTTCCTTAAAACTGAAATTGCCTCTTAATGAACATGTTGATTAAGATTATTTAAAAACATCTAATAATCAGATATGGGCCTATGAATTCCGTGAGCATCCTCGATGGACCCGTTCGTCTCCCACGCACGGTTGTAGAGCACGCACCTCTCTCAACCAAGGGGGATTTCGTCGACTTTTATGAAAGAGTTCAAGCCTTCCCTCGAATGGTAATGTATACAACATTTGATCTACGTCATATGACATGTACTGAGTATGCTACAGTTGACTAGTAACTTACTGTTGTGTCCCATTTATCCTAATGTCACTCCCTCTTACTTACCATCCGAATGTCCCACAACCGCCCCCAATAATAGGAATGCCACTCGCTACACCATCTTAAATCCTAATGCTCCTCCGTCTAGTCTCCACTCGTCCGGATGTCCCTCTCTAAACATCAACAATGAGAAAGTTCCTCTCTCTGATCTCCACTGTTCCAAATGCCCCACTCCTCAGTCCCCACTAACTCGAATATCAATTTCTCCCACAACTACTGCTTATCCCACATTTAAGATACCGTTAATCTAAATGTCTATCTCTTCAACATCTACTATCAAAACGTCCTACTCTAAAGCTTCAACTAATTTGAATGTCTGTCTTTCCTAACATTACTATGCTCTCTCCAGTATCTTATATCATAATGTCTTGCTGTCCAGCCAGTATTTTATGGACAGACTGGTCTTTTCATATACTAAAGTGTTCAAGTACTCCAACAGCCATTTTACAGTCCAAACAACTTTTCTGAGAACGAATGTTACTGGATTTTCGAGACTCTCTCCGTATATAAATCGACAATGAACTAAAGGAAAAGGAGAGGAAATGTGTTATGGATGCAGGGGAACGATTATTCAAGAATGCTAATGATACCGAGGCTTTCGTGGAAAGCATGAGAAACAAGGACACTGCGAGAAAGAGGAAATCGGACATCAAAATATTCACGATTATCTGATGTCTCAAAATGAGTGGAGATCTCCGGAGTCTGTTGACTCGGTTCAGTCGGCGGATGCCATGGCCAGGTTCTTCATGAACGTCAGAAAAAATGATAAATCTGAGTACAACCATCAAGTCTGAGGTGTTTACAATCCAGCATTAACCGTTATCTACAGGAGAAACACTTCGACGTCAATATTTGACCGATTTTGTTTCTTTTAAAGGAAAGTTTATTATATGACCATTTTGATATCACAACCCCAATCAGGACCCTCGGGATGATATGGGATGAGTAATCAAAATGGTCATATAATAATCTCTAAGTATGAAATATTAGTATGTTAACATTGCATTGTATATGATATTTGATATGAAATATTGATATGTTGATATCATGTTACAGATAGATCAGCATAAAGAAAACCTGAAGAAAGCTGTTTTATACAACCGTACACATCACCGAGTATCAATGGTTTGTTTTATAATGTAAACACTATAATATCGAGGCTATTTCTAGACTAGCGATTACTAATCATACGTGTAGTACCAACAATATACAGTACAGTATACTTCCATTAAGGATCAATGTCCTACTGCACTATGGTTTTTAGTAAATACATACATAGAGTATTTCCCTCTAACTTACGTTTCGATATAACTGTAGCAAAGTTGGGCCAGTCTTACTGCTGTTTCGATATAACTGTAGCAAAGTTGGGCCAGTCTTACTGCTGTTTCGATATAACTGTAGCAAAGTTGGGCCAGTCTTACTGCTGTTTCGATATAACTGTAGCAAAGTTGGGCCAGTCTTACTGCTGTTTCGATATAACTGTAGCAAAGTTGGGCCAGTCTTACTGCTGTTTCGATATAACTGTAGCAAAGTTGGGCCAGTCTTACTGCTGTTTCGATATAACTGTAGCAAAGTTGGGCCAGTCTTACTGCTGTTTCGATATAACTGTAGCAAAGTTGGGCCAGTCTTACTGCTGTTTCGATATAACTGTAGCAAAGTTGGGCCAGTCTTACTGCTGTTTCGATATAACTGTAGCAAAGTTGGGCCAGTCTTACTGCTGTTTCGATATAACTGTAGCAAAGTTGGGCCAGTCTTACTGCTGTTTCGATATAACTGTAGCAAAGTTGGGCCAGTCTTACTGCTGTTTCGATATAACTGTAGCAAAGTTGGGCCAGTCTTACTGCTGTTTCGATATAACTGTAGCAAAGTTGGGCCAGTCTTACTGCTGTTTCGATATAACTGTAGCAAAGTTGGGCCAGTCTTACTGCTGTTTCGATATAACTGTAGCAAAGTTGGGCCAGTCTTACTGCTGTTTCGATATAACTGTAGCAAAGTTGGGCCAGTCTTACTGCTGTTTCGATATAACTGTAGCCAGGACACTTCCGTTTACCAGGTAGCTCAATTAGTTATAGCGATAGTATAATAATTTGAAGTGAATTGTTCAGAATTCTAACTGTTATTGATAATATTTTGATTATTTCATTTTTATTATTTCTAATCAAAGTCCTGCAAGGTACGGGTTTATTTCGGAAATGATTTATCTAAGCTACAGTTATACCAAAAATATTTTGTTTAACACTTAGTTACAGTTTGCGGCAGTGGGGTCCTTAAATACGAATTTACTTCATTTTGTTCATTGCATTACCTAGTGATTTCTCATTGTATTGATTTAATTTGCGACGGATTTACGTTGAAATATAATTTGATAAAATAAATTTATATATTTTCAGTTGAAGGTCAAAGATCAATTTAAGGAAATTTTAACCAGTAAACCTGAGCATTTTATTCTGTATCAACCATACAACGACACAATTGACGGAATAGAAACTGTATCCAGTAAAGAAAGGTAGGTATCAAGGACAGACAGGTAGGCATCAAGGACAGACAGGTAGGTATCAAGGACATGCATGTATTTATCAAGGACAGACAGGAAGGTATCAAGGAAAGACAGGTAGGCATCAATGACAGACAGGTAGGTATCAAGGACAGACAGGCAGGTATCAAGGACAGACAGGTAGGTATCAAGATCAGACAGGTAGGTATCAAGGACAGAGAGGTAGACATCAGGGACAGACAGGTAGGTATCAAGGACAGACAGGTAAGCATCAATGACAGACAGGTAGGTATCAATGACAGACAGGCAGGTATCAAGGACAGACAGATAGGGATCAATGAGAGACAGGCAGGTATCAAGGACAGACAGGTATGCATCAATGACAGACAGGTAGGTATCAAGGACAGACAGGTAGGCATCAATGACAGACAGGCAGGTATCAAGGACAGACAGGTAGGGATCAATAACAGACAGGCAGGTATCAAGGACAGACAGGTATGCATCAATGACAGACAGGTAGGTATCAAGGACAGACAGGTAGGCATCAAGGACAGACAGGTAGGCATCAAGGACATACAGGTAGGCATCAAGGACAGACAGGTAGGCATTAAGATCATTAAAATGAAAACGATTTCTTGTTCAGCAAATCAAATGAAATGTGTTCTATGTAAAATGACCAAATTTATTTACCTTTATTAATTTTACTCCGTGATATAATATCAAGAACATAATTATATTGCTTATGCATTTACCACTGTGTATTAAATACGTGTGATAGTATATATCTAATGTTTAGTAAAAGTTGTGCACAGTTGTGCAGATACAACGTTAAAAAAAATGCATTTGATGTGTATACTCCTTCTATGAATTGGACTAATATACCTTTGCAGAAAAGGCTACAGGACCGGTGTTAAAGCGTGGATTAAGAAAACTATAGATGCTTACAAAAATCTGTTTCTGTATATTGAACAGGTAAGATATTTTTTCTGGAAATAACATCTCATGAAAGATGTATAATGTCATATAGGTACAAACGAATTGGGTTCACGTTGTTCCTCTCTATCCAATTAACATATAAATATATAAGAAAAAAACTATATCATACGAAGCTGTTTTCCAATAATCTTAGCTTATTTGTGAGAAATGCTTCAAATATCGTTGCCAAGACTAAAATTAACTTTATGTAACAACATGTAGCTATATACCTGGTTAACAAACATAATGTTTATGATATAAGTGTACGATACATAGCATTTCTTCCTGTGAATGTACAATCTTCTATCAAATATGCGGTGATGTGATTGGCGGAAGTCCTATTATGAAGCCAGGAGTGTGAATATACGTGTAATTGTATTACTAATTATAGACTCGTTAACATAATGAATCGATATTTTCCCGTTACAATGTATTGACATAACAAGTTTATATTTCTACAGACTTACATGAGGCATCTCCGTACTGGGTTAGGCGTATGTACCTGGGAAAATGGGCGTGAGTTTTACAGGGCAGCACTAAAATGGCACCTCACTACAGATATAACACCGCGACAAGTCAACGACATCGGGATCAGGGAAGTGAAAAGAATCAAGGAGAAAATGACGGAGGTATGTTTTGTACGATACAATTGTGTATTCATCCGAATTCTAAGATTTTCCCTGAAGACGTGATTTATTTAACCTCATTGACTTTGGACATTCATATGCGTTACAGTGAATTCGCTCAATATAGGGGTGGGTGGTTCGACGTCAAGAAAGAGGTATGCGTACCGTTATGTTACTAAGTCTGTTTCATTTAACGTGTTTGCTATGTCATTGGAATGATGGTATCAATTCTATCACTAGAACGGTCCAGCTGATTTACTACCTGTACTTCATATCTTTCAGTTCACTCACGATTTTTAGTTTTTATTTCGTGGCCAGGTCTTACGTCGCATAGGATTTAAGGGAACCATTCGTGAATTTACCACCTCCATCAAGGGTGACCCTAACTATACAGTTAGCAGTACGGTGAGTTTAGATATTATTTTGAATATTCATAGATACATTTCCTATTAGATTTTCAATTGCGTTTAGATATATTACGAATTTTAATTGATAATTATTTGCAGACGGTTTCAGGTTTTCACTTTTAATCGTGAATGAACGTGTACTTCAGTGAGCAAATTTATGCTCTTGATTCTTTTATCACTTAATGCTTGGGTCATTTTTGGCCTCATAAAAAGTAAAACATTTAACTTGAATTTATTTACCAATTTCTTTTATAAACATCATATTGGTTAATTGAGGTTATCATTCTTTGTGCATATTTGTCCAATTCGCATGCGTAAATGCCCTACCGTAGCAACGAACTTGCGTCACTATGCAGAAATAGCAGTGTTTTTGACCTAGCATGCAGACATGAAAGCCTTCGCATGTGACAAACACAAAATCCTTTCTGCGAATGGACACTAGTTCACTGTATTACGATGTTTAAGCACGTGAAATTTGTTTTGTTTGTTGCATGTGGAGGCTTTTAAAAATTGAAGTGTGTTTCGTTTATTTCCTTCAGAATTGCCTATTTTCAACCAAATAGCGCAAAACAGACAATATTCACGCGTAATCTTATGGAAATGCGGGTTTATGTCTCTCTTTGTTATGCCAGATCTCCTAAACCAGTTGTCGAATGAATTTGAAATTTCGTATGTGCATACTTCATTTATTCCAGATTACGAATATACGTGTAACAACTAATTCACAATCCCCGATGAGGCCGAAAATGACCTTTAACGACCCCAGTACTTTATTACCTTTACATATTATACCGTCTGCAGTGATACCTTTAGTATTGTCAAAAAGTTAGTGTATTGCACGTGAATACATTATTTTGCGTTATTACTTAAAAGTGTGTTTTCAGGACACAATTTAATTTGATCAACACAAGTGTAACGACGCCAATTGTGAGAAATGTTTGTAATTTTTATATCTTTTTCTTTTCAGCATTCAATTTTAAATTTGTATAGAGATATTATCAAAGACAAAATTGTTCCCGCCCTTCCGAGATTGTTTAAAGTTATCCCTAAACTGCCAATAAGGTAAGAACATATTTTACTGGTATATTTCGACTTATTTCGTTTGTCATTGTATCAGTCCTATGCATTGCATATACAATATGTTCTTACATGATGTAGTATAATGCATGTCATGAATATTCATAAGCTATTTAAAGCTTTTGGAAATGTAAATATTTAAAGAAGAAACAAACAACTGCCAAATGTCTATCATGAAGATTGTTGTTACAAAAGGAATCATGAAATAACTTAAGGATCTCCGTACCACTGCCAAAAACTTTAACCTGCATGACAACAACAATAAAACAGGTATATCATGTAACTCAATGAGTTTTTCTGAAAAGAGGCAAACATCTTGGTGAGTTTAAATGAAAAAAACGATAAAGATGAAATTAAAAAAAAATGATATCAAAAACGGAATAAAAACGCAATGTAGTTAAGGCTGGAATTGGTGACCTGGACATGCGATCACAATACACCTAACAAATTGAGCAACTTGATCAGTGGTAGTTCTCGGCCCAGACCGACATTTTTTATTTTCAAGATATAGTTAATGGGAGATATCGTATACATGAAAAACATTAAATTCGCCAGTGTTGTTTGCCTTAAGTGGGAAAGTGATACTTCGCAGACCACTCACTTACAAAATCTTTTCAAAACAGAGTTTATATTGTCGATAATGATATCATGTATTTTATTGAATGTATTAGATAACAGTTTTTCTCTGGCCTATATACTATAGGGTAGCACCAAGCCGTAGCGACGGTATATTTGCTGGCTATGAGGCTGGGTCTAAGGATGGGTTACAGTCGGCGGTGTTTTACGTGAACCTCTTCCGACCTACTGATGTGTATGTATAGACTATATTAGACCTTCTGATGTGTATGTATAGACTATATTAGACCTACTGATGTGTATGTATAGACTATATTAGACCTACTGATGTGTATATATAGACTATATTAGACCTACTGATGTGTATGTATAGACTATATAAGACCTACTGATGTGTATGTATAGACTATATTAGGCCTACTGATGTGTATGTATAGACTATATTAGACCTACTGATGTGTATGTATAGACTATACTAGACGCAGTGTCATGTGTTGACTTTAGCTAACATGACATTTAAAATTCCTAGGTTTTGCACTGACACCTTTAATGTTAGCATAACTGTCGTATGTTGCTATCTATATTGTGTCATAGTGTGTCATTAGTTGCAAAAGCATTTCTTAACGATATAAGAAAAAAACTTGCTTGCTTCTTACCAATGTGGTACCATATCATTTCTATTTTCACATAGTATTGATGAAGTTAATCGAGGACTGTTTTAGCTCTGTCGAGTTAAGATTAACGCCAGTGGTCTGACTTCTCCTATATCTCGGACTCTATGACGACATGTCTAGCGTCTTTGCTCTGACATTGCTATTCGTACGAATGATACGTAATTTCATATGTCAATGCTATCGTCACGTGGTTAAGGACATCACCATCTCTTTCAGTATTGCTTGTCTTTTCACGTTACTACATTAAGTTTCGAGGTATAAAAGCTGTAATACATGTAGTTAACTGATGTTTAAATGTATTGTAGGTCAATCCCAGATTTCATACCTATAGCGCTGCATGAAACATTGCCAGGCTACCATCTACAAGTAAGACGAATGCTTAAAACTTTGACTCGTTAACTGTTATATACTTTTTCATAAAGAAATGCGTTCAACACAGCACTTTTTAATAACTTTGTATGTAATAGTAACTGTCATCATCTTTCGGAAATGAGGATATACTGTACGCATTTGATTGACATACATAATTATTTTATAAGATACGTTTTACTTAGTATCGGACGCTATGATAGCTTATGATATACATACTTCTGTACTGACCTGAGGGTGTAAACTGTGGTCAATGTAAAACCTGGGTCATTCCTTGCAGAGGTCGAGCCAAGCGGTAGCACGGTTACCCCTTTTCCGTAAGCACAGTAAAGGAAGCTTTAAGTATTACCGAGTTCCTTTCGACTTCCCAGATTACAACGTGTTTGCTGAGGTAAGTTAGGTCCTTTCTCTTTACATGCTTTTTGATTTTGCCAATTCTTAGGACAACAATTGTAACAGAACGCAATGTTTGACAATACACACTAAGTCTGCTATATTGCTGACGTATACCTCAAATGTGGAGTCCACTTTTGACAGTAGGAACTACTGCTGTATACAGATCATAGCATACTTTTCCCCAGAAATCATTTTCAGATAGGAGCAAGCATTCCGAATTAGACAGCTAACGTTTGTTTGATTCCTGAGCTAATATGTAAAGGTTTCTTACTGAATATTATGAATATAATGATATTGTATTGAAAGTCTTGACAAACATAATCAGAATGTTGTGAATGATTTCTTGTGATATCACTTACATGTATGTTGAGCTAATATATCGTTTCAAGATCAGCCTAATCGTAAATGTGCATTGATTTCATAGCATAACCAGCCTTCACAGTGTTTTCATATTCCTCATGCAATCTAATCTTTGAAGAATAAATATGAAAGATTAAAAAATGAATTATGGACACGTAAACCAATCCTATGTTGTGTGTGACCACACAGGGTTGGGCTCTGTACGCGGAAGCCTTGGGCGAGACGATGGAACTATATAAAGATGACTACTATTTGTAAGTAGACTTATGGCATATATTGATATTATACCATTAATATGATATTCTCTAATCGTTAGGTGTTTTGTGGATAAGTAATATTTAAAATAGAAATACATCGTTAAAATGTTATTGATTGCATTACAACATAACTTTTTTATACGATTCGTAATAAAGAACAAATTGTCAATAAGGTTTGTTTGGCCAACGACAACCATGGTTATCTCCCTTTTACCATTATGCTGAGAACTGATGATGGTGTCACTAAAACACACCAAACATTCATGGTTTTTAATATATATATTTTTTTTTAGAATTTCCAATTTTCTTCTCATATATATTTTTGGGTTGTTATTTAGGCTGGGACGCTACAGCTCTGAACTTTTCCGCGCATGCCTACTGGTTGTTGATACGGGTATTCACTATTACAGGTAAGCGTTGTTATAGTAAATAAGACTATTAAGAAAACGTACAACGTAAAGGAACAAATGTGTTAAGGTTGTCTGTTCATGTTATAACGAGGTTTTACATGTAAAACAAGTATTGTTTGACAGGTTGTTAAATGTAGCTCCGGCATAATAACGTTTACAAATCAAATTGTTTTATAAAAGTTTTACGTAATTGGATCCTAATTTATGAACATGATTTCCAATTTGTAGGAATTTGTTCGCGGTTAGTCGGGAATGGATTTATCAAATGACAGTTTGGCAATAGTAATTATAGAAGGTTAAAAAACACTTTCAGCATAATTTAACACCAAATTCATTATGAACATCTAGTATTCCATGTACACTGGTTGATTTTTCAAAAATGATGCAAATTTTGGCGGCCATTCTTTTAGATGGCATTTCGACCCCTTTATCCAATAAACTCAGCTTGGTAACTCCCATATGCAGATCCAGCACCCTTTAATGTAATAAAAAAAAACTTGTGTTGCCAAATTCTTCTAAGACATGCCCAATGAAATATCTTTTTCCGAAATATGGCCTTGTCTATTAGAACATTATCAGATCAGAAATGTGGCTGTTATTTTTGACCTGATGGTTTCCATGCAATATTTTTCCCAAAAATATTTTCCGTAAATGTATATATTATCTTATTAGATTATTCTCATACAACGTGATTATGATTGTTTAAACAAATATTAAAACTTGTACAGCTGGAGCAGAGATCGTGCCGTGGATTACCTTTTGACTCATTCTACGTTTGGACTTGACCTGTTAGAGAACATAGTGGACAGGATAGTCACGTGGCCTGGACAAGCTTGTGGTGCAAAGATAGGAGAACTTAAGATCTGGGAGCTGAGGCGTAGGGCGGAACGGAAACTTGGTAACTATCATTTCCATTACAGTTAAATAAATTATCTACTTAAAAAAAAACACGGAAAATTACCGCAATATATACACTTATTGATGATCAGTATGCACCGACTGGCAAAAGATTATTAAATATGTCACTAAATATAAACGAAAGAAAGATAATTAAAAAAAGTACACACTCATTGAAAACATACTCCAATAATAAGTATGAACTCGTGAAATTATTGTTTATTATTCTTACTTTAGATACGTTCATATTGTTTCAGATTGGAAGTTCGACATTAGAGAATTTCACGCGGAACTACTGCGACATGGTGATGTGCCATTACAAGCACTGGAGAAGATCGTTGACATTTGGATTAACAAAACAGCGAACAGCACTGTATGTGGGTCAGCATCATCTCTCCAGTACTGGGGACCTTTCAAGTTATTAATAACAGTTATTATCCTTTTTATAATAGTTTAAAAAATCCAAATAGTTTAGTAAATACCTTTACGAACTGAAATGTATTGTTTAAATGGATACATTGCGATGAGAAAATAAGGGATGCATTACAGCAAACCATATCTAATTTATTCTCGCATGGGTTCTTATTCTGTTAATTAACTCATTTTGTATTCAGCTTCTAATATGTGTTACAGAGAGGGTTTAAATGTGCACCAATGACATGTTAACAAGAGCGTTCTGGTGCATTAAACAAGAATACATAGTTCACGAACTGATATCCAGTATGTAAACGGAAAACACTTTCCCTAAATGAATGTTTGGAGACGTCATTGTTTCCCAGGAGAATGACATAAATACATACAGTTATATAGGTTTATGATAAATATCTTTTTAGAAAACCTTATTTCCTAAATAAAGTGAACCCAGTTTTCACATTTACCTCTTTAGATTGCCATTTATTAATTTCACAATCTATAACCCTTATATTTCGCTGTTTATTTTCACTTCAACCTTAGAAATGATTTAAGCGAAGCAAAACCTATAAAGTCATTGTGCACGGATTAAATCGGAAAGTTTTTCACGAAAGTTTTCATTTTCCTATATTTCTTCACAAAAGGCTTGGTGTATTATGCCTTGAAATCTATTTCAGTAGAACCTATGCGGAGCAAGAGTGAGGATGAATAGGGTTTATTTTGTTTACATGGAAGAATTTAAATTTTTAAATGAATTTTTAATTCATCATAAGAAGTTTTGCAAATAGTATTAAAAATATCCTGAGGTAACCCGAGGGTTTCGTGAATATTGAAACGAATACGAACATCATATCATATCCATGTTTTTTAACCAGGAAGAATGATATAGTATCTTTGAGGCCGATTTTTTCCAATAATTCCCCTAGATCTAGTAAAAATTATGTGGTAATATATCGACCTCAGTACATAGCTATGTTACCTTCATCACAGAGAAACTTTATCTCAAATACATGTTATCGCTTAAATAAACATGTTCATTGAAGTAAAATCTCAAGTAACATTTTGAATGTGAACATATATTTATCGTGGTATCCATCAGATAAAAAACACTTTCAGAGAATTTGAAAAGTACATTGATTTTTTTATCATATATTTTGATAATTTTATAAACCACCATTACACGTTTTTCATTCAAACAGTCTACTTAAGCTACACTATACGTAAGTGCCTTATAAGCGGGTTTTAACGCACCATATAAGCTAATGCCTCATCAAAGTTTATCATACCTGATCGGAATGCAGAGAAAAAATGCCATTTTCTTATATATAAATACATATTGTAACAGTAATATACGTAACAACTGTAAAAGATATACACAAGTGACAAATCAAATATGTATGATAATTTTTATTATTGTATCTTATTTTGTGTATATCATGTACATTATTCGCATAATTTGCATATATAGTATTATGATGAAGGAATGTAGTGTACATGCACAGTACTATGATTCACGATACAAATATCAATACAGTTAATGTCCTTATACTTTCACTATTGCAGTGTGCTTAATGGTAAGTTGTTTTACCTCAGTGAAAGTTAAAAGTGATTAGCGAACCCGTTTTTATAACATCAACACTCTGTTTTCGTGTCTGACGTAACACGGTAATAACACAACCCAATACGACATTTATCTTATTTAAAGGGTAGTGTTCCAACTCTGTATAGATATAACGTATAGAATCATGGCAATGGTATACTTAACTTGATATAACAAATACATGGTGTAGTTATAACATTGATGTGGATAATTTCGAGTTATTGCCTGTTGTGTTTTTCTTCATTTAAAACTGACACTGTGACATGTTATTCTGATTAGTTGTACCGTCTTTGCGTATTGCAGAGTTATCTTCTCTTGGGAGCAGGTATTGATTGTTACGTCATTGGTTTGTGCGAGAAAATTACGTCGTTTTCTCAAACATTGATGACGTTACTCTCACAAACAAGTGACGTAACAATCAATACCTGCTCCCAAGAGAAGATAACTCTGCAATACGCAAAGACGGAATACCCGCGTGATGATGCTGTTTTATAGAAACAAACATAACGGGAGTCCACTTCCTGTGTACTATGGAATGTTTCTGTGTAATATCGTTTCTGTATGGTTCTTTTGCATTAAATGTGAGTTTTGAACGTCGTGATGAATCGACTGATCCGAATACTCCTTTTAATATTCACGGTTTTCTGTGCATTATTAAAACTAGTAACAATACGTACACTACATAATATATTTATATATCGAAATCAGTAGAAATATCAATAACCCATGTGTATATAAATACTGTAATGCCGATATGTTCGAATCAATACAATGTCAAAATGTGTCCTTCATATACGCTTATTTATTGTATACAAAAAATACCATATTTGTTTTTATATATTTCCAGCCTTGTCATGACAATCTGAATGTCCGCAACAGGAACGGACGATTCTGCACCAAGTAGATATTTTTTGATATTTTTGAAATAAAAAGTCCCCTTGTATAGTGACGATATCATGTAGGTAAAAATGAAATTACATTTAAAGAACGCGGCTCAAATCAAAACCAGCTTATGGTAGTAAACAATCAATACATAATACAGCCATCCGTTTTTTGTGATATGGACTTGAAATAATTAATAATACTTGTGATAGATTTTTTTTTATACAAAACCCCTTAAAGTTTAGTAAGTCGCGAGTATGTCCCTTAGTAGAAAAATAAAATCTGATATTGATACACCTGCTTAATATCCTTTTGTATATAACGTTTAAACACAATAGTTCAAAATAATTATATTAATGATATTATTCATAGACCCAAATGAACAGACAACATCAAGATTATGAGTGTCATATGATGAATAGTTGTAAAATATTAAGTGAAATGTATTTTTACTATATACGTCATTTTGCACCACGGAACGGGAACTAAAGTCAGGAGCGAGTTGTTATTAATTACTGAAGAGATATCGCATACTGTAAAAGAAACATCTCCGATCTCTAATACGGATTTAACTTTGTCGGCAACAACAATAGAAACGGAGCATTTCAAAGGAATACGAACATGTTTCTGTCAAAAAAACCTGTTATGAGCAAATTTTAGTTTAATAGAAAGCACATGATGCTTCGGACATTGATTACATGCGCTATTTCCTTGCTTTTGTATGGCTGTTATGATTTTGTAAATTATTAATAGGGATATTTGCAGTTAGCCTAATATATATTTACTTTATAACTATTGCCATATTTCAAAGTTATATACTGACGGGTTTCGGCTACGGGACAAACTACATACACATTGGTAACGTAAACAGAAATAACAATTGGAGAAATCAATAAACAATATGATTTCAGAAACTAGTAAATGTCAAATTAGCGCCTGGATTTACAGGGTCTATTTTTACATTCACAGTGTTGAGTTCTGGTAGATAAGTTATGTAGTATTGTATCCCATGTATCCATTATATTGTCATTAATATTTTTATGCGTTGTACAATTGTATTTAAATTTATCTGATATACACGATGCATTACTTATATTAAGTAGAATAGCAAAAGCAAATATGTGCACATAATACTCATGAAAAAAGACATTTCCGTAGTTGCTTTGTAATTATATTGTGTAGGAAATTTCAGGATAGTATCAAATTTCAAATGCACATAATTAACAACGATGATATAATGTTTCCCTAGTAATCTACATTTTTTTTGTAAACATTTAAATGTCAACTGTCAATTGTCTGTCAAGTTTCCATATTGCATGTAAAAAACATCGACAGTTTGATATACCAGGGTATCCGTTATACAATGTAGTGTATTGGGTGCATATTGCTATTATTTTCGCATCAACATTCGTATTGCTTCATGTTACATGAATGCATTTAAATAATGTATTTAATTTTTTTTTTTAAATAACAGAAGGACATTCTTCAACTTCGAAAGTGTCCATGATTACAATATTTAAAAATGACATTTAAAAGGAAAAAGTTAAATAAACAAATAAACGTTCTTTGAATTGCGACCATATTTTCACTATATAATTATAATTTATACTACCAGGTAAGTTTGTTTATGTTTGGATATATATATTTAAAAACAATCGTCATTTTTAATATCATTACTAAAAAAAAAAAACTGTATAATTTTAAAATGGTCGCGAGACAACAAACATATATATACCTAGTAATGTGCAAAATTTCGAAAACAAATTGGTTAAGAAAATTTTGATCTAGAATGGAATTTTCCATTTAACAAATGTACTACGACAATTATCTTTAAACAAAACCAAGGCGTTGGAACATTTTGGTCATTCTGCACAACACTAGGTAAACAATGTACCGGATATCTCTCCAATTGAAATCACTGGTACATTGAACAAAGGTATCGTGTTATCATGTCTCACTAAAGATCTCAAGCTCAACTTGTTTCATTTAAAAAAATGAAATCGAGTGGAGAATGGCCATTATTCTTATTTATCATACAAAAACGTATGAACCACACTCATGACATGTATTACAGCTACAATTTTAATAAATATATGATGAATGTTTTCTTCCTCTTTTGTGATATGTGCATTCCCGTCTTATATATAAACGATATGTGTGATGATGATGATGAAATCCAAATAAATCAACATTTAAAATACGATTAAAATATTGTATATCTAACTGACTTTGTGAGACGACGTAATATCGTATCTGGTAATTTTAGTATTTGGACTGGTCACATTGTCCAAATAATTGGTGTTATATTTTTTTTTCATCCACATTATGTAATATCACATGTATTTTAAATAAACATATACTATGTTACTTTCAGTTAATGTCATGTGTGTCGTCAATTCTACATCAATACTACTTAAATCTGTTAACTAAATTAGATTTTAATCGAAACATATGTTTTAAAAATACCGAAATCCATGTAAATCGAACATGGTTGGACATATTCAGGTCAGATTCAGAATGAAAATACATGTACTGTGTGTTATATAACTGAAACCTAAGTTGAAATAATTGTATTCATCATTAACATAACTGAATCTGCTACATAATGCAACAAAGTTTTCTGTTACATTACTAAAAGTAAAAGTCGATCTGTTACCAAAATTTTGAGGGTGTTGTCTAGTATCAACTAATATTTTAGTCTGTATCAGTTTATAATAAGTATCAAACAAATACTTCATTTACGAAGTGAATTATGATTTGCATTTATGTACTTAAACGATCAGTTCATCGAGTCAAATAATACTTAATACTGCATACAATTATTTTCATGTATCAATGAACTTTGTTCACAAATTCTCCTCCGCGCAAAAGATCCTGTTTTCGTTGGTTGATAATGCAATTTGTATATCACATTGCCAAATCTGACAATTCCATTCTTCTATTCTCGTTTCACTTTTAAATCATATCGCTTTCGATGAGGTTTGTTATGTATATCGTATGAACAATTAATTTACAGTATTGCATTCAACTGCAAAGGGAAGTAACTCTAACATTTATTGACGGTTCATTCGTCTAAGTGAAATATAATATCCCACGTATACAATACATATCACATCATATCACTTAGGATTTTCATCCATGTAGTCAGTCCAGAAAGTAGTTCGGTTACTCATCTAAAATAGCTTCCGCCACGTACTTCCGCTGTTAATATCACAATTGTTAGATGGACAGTGTGCTCCTTACATCCACAAATCCATCCGATGTCAGGAATATTGTAGAGTCCTTGTGAAAAGTAGTCCAAATAATGTTAACATCAATGACTGACTTGATATGTAAACACAATCTGAAAATGAGAGAGGATATGTTTTAAACTATGTATATCGATATTGTTTACTTATTCATATTGTTTTGCCAATATACTACTATATTTATATGATATTTTCTGGATGAATACATCCACACACTTTTGTAGCACACGGATGTTTTCGAACGTCCGTGTAATAAAAAGACATTGTACACTATCCTTTACTTCAGGTAAAACATGTGTGGTGTTTGAAACCTTCAATTGGTCAATATTTGCATACAATACTTTTCTTAATATTTTCATCATTAACTCATAATATGCCAAACAACTTCAGCGAACAAAACGACGCATAGATAAAAATCATCCGAATCCATTTTTGTTTCAAATTATATACTAATATATATAATCAAATCATGGGATAACAACCAAGCACGAGTTAACCAAAAAAGCAATTCTTGCTACTAGGATGATTGCAATATTGTGAACTACTTATCGTGTATTACATGGCTGTATCTGACTATGGACAATACCTGATACCAATACACTGTCACTGTGTATTAAATATCACATTTATTATTTCCTATTCATACCTCAAATATTCCGTCTTTGCGTATTGCAGAGTTATCTTCTCTTGGGAGCAGGTATTGATTGTTACGTCACTTGTTTGTGAGAGTAACGTCATCAATGTTTGAGAAAACGACGTAATTTTCTCACACAAACTGATGACGTAACAATCAACACCTGCTCCAAAGAGAAGATAACTCTGCAATACGCAAAGACGGAATTGGTGAACAACAAACTAATCCGAGATTCAAATTTATATGCTCCATATAGCCGCGAGTGAATATATCAACGAGATTGTTTGTGAAGCATGAAACATCCTAAAATGTGTCCATAAATATGTTATGATATACCTCTTCACCTCCTATATCTTATATCGTGCCCGATTGAGTAATATTGATAAAATGACGGGGAAATAAAACAGCATGCTCCCCTCGCACGCTAAAATTTCCTCGGTCATATTTCCCTTATTCCGAATAACACTATTTCAAAAACTAAACATGTTTGCATTGATTGAATGACTTGAACGAGTGGAGATTGAAATACACAGAGGAAAGTAATCTTATACTCGATTGAATATAGCTTTATATATTGTTACCAACGTAATATGGGGTCTGTACAAGACTATCTTAGCAGTTGCTTTTCTACTTTTTCAATGAAATGTGATAGGGATATTGTTTTGATACATACTCGTATGCAATTGATATTAAACTAACATTGAAGGGTAGAGCATGCAAAAAAAAACAAAAAAACACATTGATTGATCTGACCAAAGAACTTTCTTGGAAGGATCTTGTATAAGGTAAGGATAACAAGTTTTAATATGCCACTATTTTAGGGGCGAGTTATCCTGACTGGTGAGCTAACCGTTACTGTTCATACTGAGGTATCTGTAGCATTCCTTTTCGTCACTGCCGTCGTGACAGTCCAGTTCCCCGTCACAATGGAGGAACTTCTCCACACACTGAAGCTCGTTGTGACAAACAAATGTCGTGTCGTTGCAGACGTCCATGTTAAAGTTCAACGGCAAATCTGTAACGATAGCAACAAATAATACATGTAAATACACTTAAGGATCCTTGTCCCACTGCACTTCCGTTTTTGCTATATACAGTTACCTCCCCTTAACTTCCGGTTTTGCTATATACAGTAACCTCTCCCTCACTTCCGTTTTTATGTAACTGAAGCACATTTGGGCCAGTACTCTTCAGTTGAACCGAAGTAGCTCAATCGGTTAGTGCGATAGAAAAACAATCTGAAGTACAGGGTTGGAATCTTTATAATTTTTCGTAAAAGTCCTGCAAGATATAGTGTTCTTTCCAGAAAGAATAAAACCAGTTTATAATACTTAGTTATTAGTGTTTAGCAGTGGATCCATAATTGAACAAAATGGTTAATTACATAGTAATATTACACAACATTGTTATTTACTTTGGCTTTCTACATCAACTAACTAGATTTTATTAATTGGCGAATCCTTCAATTCTGTGCCCAGTGCCTTAGATATCTTAACATTATCAATACAGAATAAGATATGCCCTCTGATGTCACATTTTAATTTGTTAAAATCCATTCCTGAAAAGAAAAAATCATTCAAGAAGATACTGTAAATCAAATATGAGAAATTCTAAACTCTGACTATTCCAAACGAAAAACGGGATCCATGTTGCATTCGGTTAAGAGATATTTCCCTATATCTAACATTGGTTTTTGTAAATTTATACGTGATATCGTCTAAATGCGTGGCACGTTTAAGAAAACAGTCAGAACAGATTCACCGAAAACTATGCGAACGATTTTCATAATGATGAGACTACAGTAGCATAGGTTTTTCTGTATATTTTTAATAACTCGACCAAGTTAACAACTGTATTACATAGCACAAAGGCTAATCCTTAAGAAGTATGAAAAAGGTTGATTCAGCCAGTTGACACATCTTGGTGTTCACATAATTGTTATGGTAATCACATTAGGACACGTGCCATTGGCTACAGAGAGAAAGGTGGACGCCTAATTAATCCTTTGATCATTTCGTCTGATATTTCGTGCAATGTTTTAGAAATGTCATTCGTAGTTGATTGCGGCCCTCGATAATACCACTTCTCCGGTGTAATTCTCGTTGGGTTTTATTGTTATCGCCCTTCTCAGACGCGGTAATACCAGTTTAGTATACACTCGCAGCGATCATTGCCTCGCATTCCTAGTCTAGGCAGTCACAAGATTTGGTGACTTTATCTACAGAAACTAGACACACATATTGTTATACTTACCATAAACAGAAGCTTACTTTCAAAATGTATTTCAAACCTTGATCACCACTTTTAATACAAATGCCTAAGTATATCTTTATGACTAAATACAAATGGACAAAAGGAGGTGAAATACAAGCTGCCAAAATCACGCTAAGCAATCCATACATTTGGCTGTTAGACCTTGGTGTGTATAGATGCAGGATTGGTGCGGGTCGATAGATAGAAATGGAAATTAATTGATCTTTCAAATTTAGCTAGGGAAATTGCAAAATAAAGGAGTGAGAACATGGCCACGGGCGATTTTCCGCTGTTCGTTGCGATAAATTGAAAAAATGTTGTGTTTCTCTCGGATCATCAGCAAATGACATTGATACATTAAAACAATAGATGACATATACACTTCGTGCAGCAGTGATTGAGTACTTCCAACTGTTTACATTTGTATTCAAACGTGACCAGCCTATTACTTTGACCTTTCATTGACATTTCGTGACTGGCTCGTGTTGTAAGATTATTTTGGAATTTTTGTATTGGTAAAACATCGTTCCCTAAATAACTCATTCGGATCTGGATTACAAATTTCCGGATAAAAGGGGATAGTTCCGAAACATGGGTATCAGGAAAGAGCATTTCTTGGATTGTCGGTCTCGACTGTACATTTAATAAAGATATTGATTACGTACCAGATTCTTCACACCACGTGATGGTGGTCACAGCTCTACAGACGAGTATTCAATTATCTATACATACAGTTCGTCATTTGATGGAGCACCTGGTATGTGCATGACTATAGACGAGAGTGACCTAGGTTTACTTGTTGATCAAGTGAAAGAGTTTAGGATTCATACACGAGTGCTACAGTATATATCTACATACGTACAGTGTTAACAATTATTAATATTCCAGGTTTCAGTACAAGATAGATATCTTCACTCATATATACTGTTCATCAAGCTATAGCGTGATTTTTCTCCGTTTTACTCGACCACTAAAATATGGCTCGGCCATAGCTGCACATATAGAATATGATGTAAAACACAAACTAAAGATAGCTTTCTACACGACAAGTACATGTATCAACAAACGTACTTTCTCCTTCAAGTAAGAATGCAACCTTACACGGCAAGCATCTGCATACATAAACTGTTCATCAGTTGATAACGTTCAAGGAAGTTTTCAAGGTTCCCTTACCTGACAAGCACCTACATACATAAACTGTTCAGCAACTTATCGCGTTTAAGGTTCCTTTTAAACGATTATTTCCGACAGTTATCTAACTATCTCTCTCCTATTCATCATTTTTAATACTAAGCACGTCATAATTGAATTGACCAATGAGTAATCAAGAAATGGATGTTAAGTCCATACAAGTCTTACATCTTCACTTGATCGTATGATAAGGGCAACACGAAGCTATACTCCTGTACACACATTACTTATCTTTGTATAATTTGTATCGGTTCTTCACGCCTGTATAAATCGCACTTACTACTTCAGTACACCGCAGTAAGACTATTCATTGTTTCTCCAATGTTCAAATAGCAGAGGAAAGATTAATTGATAATGAACTTCATATAAACAGATTCACAGTAAATATATTTGTTTGTTAAGGAAAACTCTCAACTTCTATTACCGATATATCTATCTTTGATTGAAAGTAATTTGCCTAACTATAATAATTTCGATATTCCTAAAGTTGGTAAAGGCGCCGGTCTGCCTCTACTATGACTATTGAGATACCGTAAGCTGAGGAACCCAGTGACATTACGACACCAACTATGTCGTGTTATTAAGTAGAAAATGGCAGTATTAAACAAACAATCTATATATACATACCTGGACATGTTAGTTCGTTGCAGCTTAGTTCTTCTAACGTTTCCCCTTCGCAGGGTTTTCCGAAGTTCATTGGCTCCGGTGAATTGCATAGCCTCGTCCTCGTTCTGGTTCCGTTACCACACATCACGGTACAGGGAGTCCAAGCTGTCCACACGCTCCAGGACCCGTGTACTTAAACACAAGTTTAATTAATGTTCAATCATATCTCAAACAGTAAAAAGGTATAAACTATGTATATAAAGGTTTAATAACATCTTAAACAGTTAAAATGTAAACTAAAAGTGCAACAACATCTAAACAGTATAAACTAAGTATGATAAATGGTAAACAGTGTCTATAACAATTTAAACGAAGCATGTGAACTATAAAAAAAAAAACACACTTTATAAACGAAGTATCGCAAATACTCAACAGCATATACATGAAGCGCAGTATAAACAGAATAAAAGAAATTAAGGTGTTCAACTTCGTCTCAAAACTGTATTAGATATACGTGAAATATTCAACGACATTTAAGACACAATAAACAAAGTATTTTCAATGTTCTACATCTCAGGCAGTATACACAGACAGATTTATGTCATTCTGAAATAATTTACAAGCGCAATATCAATAGTTTCTTACGCAAAGGTCGTTCGATGATTATATGCCTTCACACTACACAAAAACCCTGTTTCATTTCAAACTACCAAACCTTTTTTCTCTGGTGTGTTCTACAAAAGTACTTCATGTTATCAATTAATGTTCTGAAATGAAAATTATAAATCGTATGTTAAAGAGAACGCGACTGCAGCAACACATTGCTGAACGGTTTATTGTCGTATAGTATCAATGAAGGCTATATTCTAAAGAATGTTACTTATCAGAATGGTACGGGGGAGGGAGAAGGATTCTCGTGTCAAGCCTTTTGATATTATTTACGTTTTGGAGAATAGAAATTCAAAGAAAAATACTAACTTTAGACAGACCATGTTTCTTTGGTTAACGTAAATAAGACGTTATATTTATATTATTTGTACGATTTGGACACAGTGAAACACGTTTACTGTGATAGGCTTATTATTGAAAGGTTTTTGATTATAACAAACTCATTCATGTATTTAGTAGCAAACAATTTTCTCACGAACATCCAATCTCAAAAGCCAAGTGCTGTTATAACTGATCAGATCCTTCAATGTATTGTCCTATGCTATACCTTGAACAGGGGCGTTGCACTCATTAATCAACAGTCAGACTCTTGGGTTCATTATCAACGCGTTCACGGCACCTTTTGAGAAAATGAAGACCAAAACAGTTCACGTAGCCCCTGATAAACATTCATAACAGTAAAGGAAGAACGCCGTTACATTGAACTCACTTGGGCAGGGTACTTTAGTCCAGCACTCGACGATAGATATGTAAGTATAGTTGAACACAGTTCCGTCCTCTTTTAACCAGACCTTGCTCCGTTTGATAGTTCCGTATCCACATGTAACGGAGCAGTCTGACCATTCACCCCACTCTCCCCATCCACCAAACACAACAGCGTCTGAAACTGAAATGCAATTTGACTACACATGTGAACGTAAGATATGCTTAATAGCACTTAAATCTGGAATGGTGAATATTGAGCAGGTGTTTGACCAATTTGCGGTGTTTGAATTGTGTTCAACAACGTAAATACTAGTTGATAGCTCGAAATGACCCTCCATAAAAAGCTTTATGAAATCACGGGCTTTATTGTTAGTGCATTATTGAAGATCGGGATCACAGCGACAGTAAAACCTTTGGTCAAAATATGCTTTACACAGCATAGACAATTCAATATAACGTTCGTGTATATTGATTTGCATTTTTGTCAAACTGTTTTCGGAGTATTGTTCCACGCTGTATCATTTTTGGGTCAGGTTTCCTGCTGAACATGTTTCAATTGCTGTTTTACCTTTATTCGGAATGTTTTCTATGCGACATATCAACATAAGCAAATAGGGAAAAGAAACGATTCTCTAACATTAGTTGTATAAATATATATTAATTTATAAATTAGCGTATAAAATACTCTTCCCCATCACATAAAATTTAGATAAAGATGTTTATCCAATATCTCAAATCTAATAATGGGTATCACAACTGGTGGTATGCCAACATTTCATGTTTTTCATTAAAAAACATTTTTAAATAGCCCTAATGATAATATGCTAGCTTAATAGAATAGGATACAAAGACGAGTCTTGTTATAAAACGGACATTAAAATGTACAAGAGATATAATTTTGTTTCTAGTTTAACTGATGCATACCCAGACCACTTTGATAGACGATCAGCCGTCGCCTTGTGAGTGTTCAAGTTAATAGCCAATACATATTACCAATCCTGGCTCTTTGCTGATTGACAACCAGTGCTGTGGCCCCGCTAGGGATGTCCTTTCTCGGTAGATCTACATCAAACATAGCCGTCTTTTTCTATTATGTCAGACCTATATTCTCTTCTCATGATATAATTAAGATGATATCGTATTCATGTTCTATCTTGCGAGACTAGGAACGTAGGCCTAATGATGCGTCTAATAAGAAACATGTGTTCCTGTACGTTTGCTAAATTGTGGGACAACGTCGGTTATAATCATTTCATTACAACCGCTTTTTGTCTGAGCTAAAAGGGTCAGAAAAATTCCGAGAAAAATTCCGAGAACATCGGATATGTTATAACATGTTGATACCAGCGCTTTGCTGGCAAGTCGGAGACAGTAATGGTTTGCACGTGAATGCATGTTGCAAGTAAATATAATGACTGTTTGTTTTCGGTACACATGGTTTACTCTTGTTATATTGAAAAAAACACCTTATGAATTTTATTGCTATTTTGTCATTATTTACAAACCTCAATTTCTTCACATTTCATATTGCAGTGAATTGACGTGAAGCCAGGCGACGGCATGGATATCTCTCAGCTTCTACTAACTATCCGTTATCATTAAAACCATCAAAACAGCTTTGAACAAGCGATACATCTAACTTGACTTGTCCTGCCGTTGCATAATTTGTATGATTGTAAGGTTTATCTTACGTTTTTGTTGCACGGATATACATTATAGAATCAGCAATAATTTCGTGATTCAAATTCAGTATTTCATTAATGCAAAATAAAATTCAGAAAAATCGAATTCAATCAGATGTTTATATTATTGATTATAAAGCTATAATTGAAATAAAACATCATATGAACAAGCATTTGAACTGGTTTAAAGATACGTATATCGTTAGTATGTGTATATAGCTTGGTTCAATAAGTCCGAATAATATTTCGCAAGATATTCTAATTCGCGTTGACAAGATTCGTATTTTACTGTTTACATGTTGATATATTGTTGATAAACAGTAAATAACCTTAAATGGTGAGTGTGTGCCTGGTTGTAGGATATTCATTTTGATGTTGATGTGATGGCTTGCAATGACAATTGTGCTTCTGAGGTGCACGTTGTTTTAGTCTTTTCAGTAATGTCTTTTGTACCTTGTTGTTTCGTGTTTTCCCCAAATATTCCGGTTTAAGGCCTACTGGTCTAATTTGAAGTAAGATGGTTTAATTTGAGGTATGTTGGTCTAATCTGGGGTTTAATGGTCAATCTGAAGTTTAATGATCTAATTTGAGGTATGATGGTCTAATTTAAGGTATAGTGGTATAATTTATCCCTATACACTGTTGCTAGTTCGTTCATTTATTATAGCATTCATTCCACATGTATTATTAAATGTTTATAAGTGGGGTAAACCTGCAGATTACTTACTACGGCGTCTTACATACAGATGATTGCATTTTACATAATGGTTACCTCAATATAAATACTGGTTTTAGTAATATACATAATGATTACCGACTAAACATACTGATTACCGGAATATAAATACTGATTACCGTATTGTACATACTGATTACCGGAATATAAATACTGATTACCGTATTTTACATACTGATTACCGTAACATACATAATGATTACCGACTAAACATACTGATTACCGGAATATAAATACTGATTACCGTATTTTACATACTGAGTACCGTAATATACATACTGATTACCGTAACATACATAATGATTACCGACTATACATACTGATTACCTCAATATATATACTGATTACCGTAATATTTATGCTGATTTGCCGTATTATACATACTGATTACCGTGCTATATATACTGATTTCTGTGCAATACATACTGATTACCGTAATATACCTACTGATTACCGTACTATACCTACTGATTCTCATAATAAACATACCGATTACCTATAATACTATCAATTACCACGTCATACATACTGATTACCGTACCGATTACCGTACTATACATACCGATTACCGTACTGATTACCGTACTATACATACCGATTACCGTACTGATTACCGTACTATACATACCGATTACCGTACTGATTACCGTACTATACATACCGATTACCGTACTGATTACCGTACTATACATACCGATTACCGTACTGATTACCGTACTATACATACCGATTACCGTACTGATTACCGTACTATACATACCGATTACCGTACTGATTACCGTACTATACATACCGATTACCGTACTGATTACCGTACTATACATACCGATTACCGTACTGATTACCGTACTATACATACCGATTACCGTACTGATTACCGTACTATACATACCGATTACCGTACTGATTACCGTACTATACATACCGATTACCGTACTGATTACCGTACTATACATACCGATTACCGTACTGATTACCGTACTATACATACCGATTACCGTACTGATTACCGTACTATACATACCGATTACCGTACTGATTACCGTACTATACATACCGATTACCGTACTGATTACCGTACTATACATACCGATTACCGTACTGATTACCGTACTATACATACCGATTACCGTACTGATTACCGTACTATACATACCGATTACCGTACTGATTACCGTACTATACATACCGATTACCGTACTGATTACCGTACTATACATACCGATTACCGTACTGATTACCGTACTATACATACCGATTACCGTACTGATTACCGTACTATACATATTGATTATCATTAGATACATACCGATTACCTATTATACTACCAATTAACACGTCATACATACTGATTACCGTATCATAATGCCGATTACTAGTACTGTGTTATATTCATTACTGTATTTAACATACAAACTGGACCAGTATCTGACATCGGACTGACTACGGTGTCACACATAATACACACTTACCTTCATATAGTGTGACGAGAATAAGAAGTAGACGGCTAACATTCATCACTCGTCATATATCTGTAAAACACAAATACAGGAAATAGTTAAGTAGTGTTTACTATAAAACCTGAAAATGTAGCAAAAATGTTCATGTTGAAAGACATGTTTGAATATCGTTTTAATAAACTGGAATTTCTTTATGGTAGAATTTCGAATTTTCTGAAGTAATAGAACTGCAGTTCTGTATAAATGGTAAGTCTGTTTAGCTCCACGAGGTAAAGCATGTAGTGTAGATAGTTATCCTTTATATTTTCTGAAGTAATAGAACTGCAGTTCTGTATAAATGGTAAGTCTGCTGGCCGTTTAGCTCCACGAGGTAAAGCATGTAGTCTAGATAGCTATCCTTTATATTTTCTGAAGTAATAGAACTGCAGTTCTGTATAAATGGTAAGTCTGCTGGCCGTTTAGCTCCACGGGGTAAAGCATGTAGTGTAGATAGCTATCCTTTATATTTGGTAATATAAGTATATTATACATGTAAGCAATTCAAAACGACCGGATAAAAGGCAAGAATGAAAACCAAAATGTATTCCCGTATGTCTACATCGTAAAGGACAAGAACTTATCGTGTTTGACAGATAAAAAGCCAAAAAGAACAGTATTGAATGAAGCCTTGCTTCTCCTTTATTTTCATTTTAGAATAGCTCTAAAATACTTATTTTAATGTGTCTCAAATCCGTAGTGTAGAATTCAATTTCGTTGCACAAATCAGCTTATGGGGAAATGTATGTTATCTTGACAGGCTGACACTATATCTCAAAAGTTTACAACATTGCAATAGTAAAGCAAATTGAAAAAAATGCTCTTTTAAAGTCCCCTTTTCTCTAAACGAGTTTTGCGACCATTCCTACTGGTTGTGTAGAGATAACATATGATTTGCTAGACAATGTATTATGCCTAGGACTGGGGGGAAATCATCACGATACAGGCCAACCTGTCTAGGCTGGCTTATACTCAACGCAGCAGACATGTACAGATTTTATTATTATGTTTTTCTTTCTTTTTGAAGACCAGCTGCATTGGTCGGTCTTCAAGAAACTTTTCCAATCATGTTTTTTTTCTGGATTGGCCTTCAAGTAACTGTGGGTCTTCCTTATTCAATCATATTGGTCAATAGGTTTATAAGTAAAAACGGGTCTTCCTTTCTCAATTTAGTTAGTCTATATTGGAATAGGAAATAAAAGAAGACTATAAAGTAAACCCACATTTGCCCTGGCAGGTAAAATAACCACACAAAGGCAGGTAAAATAACCACACAAAGGCAGGTAAAATAACCACACAAAGGCAGGTAAAATAACCACACAAAGGCAGGTAAAATAACCACACAAAGGCAGGTAAAATAACCACACAAAGGCAGGTAAAATAACCACACAAAGGCAGGTAAAATAACCACACAAAGGCAGGTAAAATAACCACACAAAGGCAGGTAAAATAACCACACAAAGGCAGGTAAAATAACCACACAAAGGCAGGTAAAATAACCACACAAAGTAATATAGCCTTAAAACACATCTTAAATACATTAATGGCAGTTTTATTGTTCTGCAATTGTGTTTCAGTGTGAAATGAATTATACAATATACATAAATTGTTGTTTATTTCGTGTTCCAAAAAACGCACTATTCACCCTGAGGCCGTCTAACATTCACTGACAAACCGGGCGACAAAGTACATACGTACATATGGAAACAAAACCAGCATTTAAGTGACCCATTGTATAGTGTTGATCCAATGTTTTACTGGTATTTAAGTGACACCTTGTATAGTGTTGATCCAATGTTTTTACTGGTATTTTAACAAATTAACTAGCTCTTCATGTTAAGTATGTTGACACTTTTCCTCAATATGTGTTGCTGCCAGCGCGTGTGCAGTGCTCGCGTGCGTGCGTGAGGTTGTTTTGTTTGTTGGGACGGTGCTTCCAACCGCATCATTCATAGTGCCAGACCACTTAAATATGAGAGCACAAACCTAGACCATGTTATAATCCATTCGGAGTCACTGTAATTAGCAATGAGGGCTAAGTGCCTTGCTCAAAAATACAACACCACGAGTCGACAATACTCTTGGAACAACCGACGTTACAGTCACCTGCTGGCCGGTAGCTCAACCCCCTCCCCCAAACCCGCCGTGTTGACAGATGTTTCCGCTCCTTTTTCAATTGTTAAAACGCTCCTCATTAATGTGAACGCTTTATACAATTCTGTTATGATCTGGGAAGCAGACATTGTAGGGATCAACATGACGCGCTCTGTTTCCATGGTAATTTTTGGTAACTGTATCTTATATGTGTCTCGTATTTTCCATTTCGGCTGAGTTGTTATAGTATGTGTCCTGGACACGACTTGTCCAACATGAAGTTGTAACTGAATCCTACAGTTGATTTCATCACAGGAGGTACTGGAGCAGCGTTATGATAAGTAAGTATAAAAGTCCACATCTATACAGGATTGATGTTGGTTATTTCAATTAAAGGGGAGGTTAAAAATCATAGCTTTTACCACTATGGTACGTCCAAGGAATGTAAAGTACGTAAGTTGAGCAATGTATGGCGAAAAGGTTCTGTGTTAGCTTACACAATAAATATGCAAAAGCGGCGTGTGGGCGGACATAAAGTACTCCTATTAGAAAGAGACAATATAATTTCAAATTCTTTTTTTGTTTCTTGATAAAATGTGATTTGAAAGCCACATAATGCAGATATCAAAGGAGCCACGGCTAGAACACAGCTTTATCTGTCTCCCCTCACTCTAGCATTTATCGTCACTGGCTCACCATATAAATCAGACAAAATCGATCTCAGCATACATGGTAGGTGTTCCTCAGAGTTACACATGTCCAAAGCATGATCATAGTTATTCCAGGTTCTGTAGGCTTTAGAGACGACTGCAAGCACCAAACCCATATTTTCATACATATCATATAAGCATTGACCTGAATGTGAAGCTCGTCATTTTGAATACCAACAGAACGGCTATCTTACAAATTGAAGTATATGTACCTACGCCATGTTCTGAATGCAGCTTGCACAGTTTGCTGTTGTCAGATTTTCTATATATCTTTGTGTGTATCGATCTTAACAGATATACATTTGTCGTGGCTTAGCCCTATTTAATCTTCGAACACGAATTTTCTTACATTTTTATTTATACGAAATCCAATTGTTGTCTAACATGCAAACATACGCACAAATGAAATCTTTGAGAAAAGAAATCACATTTCTAGATTCCAGACGGTACGTCTGATTGAAACACAATTACAGAATATGCCTTGTGATCAGGCGAAGGAGAAATTGGATTCACGAAAGCACAATTTGGTGTCTGGGAGAAAATATCTAAGCATTGCTGTAAAGACTGCCCATGTATTGCAACATGAAATTTGAAAGAAAGAGTGTTCCTTTCTCGCATTTAAATCGTGTTGAAGATGTTATTTATTACAAATTCCCCGGTATGTATATTAACAAGTAGATTATCTATCGATATGCTATGTAATTGTAACCCTATCGTTCACCGTACACACGATTCCGTTGTGTATATTTATTAATCAATATCTATACTATTGTATGTGATAACATTAAAGTCGTCCCGTAATGAACATAAATCCTTATGTTACAAATCTCTGTAAAGACAATGGTGTTTACTGTTTCAATCAGTCTTGGAATATAATTCACGATCATGATGATTAGGACATGTAAGTTAATCGTGTGTGAGGGTCACCCTATATGTCGTTAAATATCAAATTTATTATTTTTTTTGCCAGTGAAATCGGATTCTATCAACTTGATAAAACTGATATCTTTCACAATGTGACAAATACATGTATCAAAAGAGATTTTTTTTCCAATGTGAAAATATCCCTTTTGGTATTGACCAATCATATCGGTATCTTCTATTTGCTGCATTCAAAGGCAACGATTTTTTGTTAAGATTTAAATGAAGCGACGGTAGAATAAGTGGCTATTATGGTAAATGTTTGGTATGCACACTCCAGTATTTACATAAATATACAATTAATAACATATTGTCAAGCGTGACGTCATTAGAATATGGCGCTAATTATAACTCTTCTGATTCCTGCCTTGTTTAATGCATTACACATTTCATGTTTTATGCTTTATAAATGTAATAAATAGAAAATGTAATGGTGTCTTCAGTAATAACAAATATATTACACTCATGTGGATAATATTTTGATATTCTTCACTTGTGCTGCGCACTCGTGAAAATGATCAAAATATTAGCCACACTCGTGAAATACATTTGTTTTATTGAAGACATCATTAAATATTCTCTGTCGTCTGTGTGTATACGGCATATGTCTGATCTAGATTTTGTATAAGTTGAATCTTATACTAAATTAAATAATTTATACAGAAATGGATATAACGTAACAGACTTAAGGAGAACTAACAGCAGAATATCTATGTGTCAGCAGAACCGTAATAGGAACTCAAAATCAATAATGTAAGGCAAAATATGTGCAAGAAAAAAAGTTACATTAGTCCCTTGAACATTGTACAAGGAGAATATAAGACCATTTGTTCCGGAAGAATAAACGTCTATAGTCTTGTCAACGACACCCGGCATATACATCCGGGTAAGATCCAGGAGATATCACTTGCTCAAAGTAAGAACCGGGGAAGTAAATCCCAGAGATGTCACGTGCTCAAAGCGAGGATCGAGGAAGTAACAACGATACAATAAACACTATTGAGCATAATAAAAAGATCGATATTAATATCACGCGACGAAATAGCATATTTAACTGTGAGATCCTGATAGCAATCATGACCGTGTCTTTAGTCTAGATTAACCTTTACCTGTCCATATCTTGTGGTGTACTCTTATGTTAGGTACATAAAGATATACAGAGAATGTATCATCCATAATATATGATTTCAAATACAATACAATACATGATAACATTATCTACACCGTCACTTTGGAACACATCCCTAGTAAGGTATAATATGCAGTCTTGACTTAATTTCCTAAATTGACATCATGCGTTTACTATGTACATGTAGGTAAAGGATATAAGCCTCAAACTGTCTGTTATGTAAAACATTGGACTGTCGTCGGAGCTACATACACCCTCTTTGTGTTAACATTGGACTGTCGTCGGCGCTGCATACACCCTCTTTGTGTTAACGTTTGACTGTCGTAGACGCTACATAACCCTCTTTGCGTTAACATTGGACTGTCGTCGGCGCTACATACACCCTCTTTGTGTTAACATTGGACTGTCGTCGGCGCTACATACATCCTCTTTGTGTTAACGTTGGACTGTCGTCCCGGCGCTACATACACGCTATTTGTGTTAACATTGGACTGTCGTAGGCGCTACATAACCCTCTTTGCGTTAACATTGGACTGTCGTCGGCGCTACATACACCCTCTTTGTGTTAACGTTGGACTGTCGTCGGCGCTACATAACCCTCTTTGCGTTAACATTAGACTGTCGTCGGCGCTACATACACCCTCTTTGTGTTAACATTGGACTGTCGTCGGCGCTACATACACCCTCTTTGTGTTAACATTGGGCTGTCGTCGGCGCTACATACACGCTCTTTGTGTTAACATTGGACTGTCGTCGGCGCTACATACACCCTCTTTGTGTTAACATTTGACTGGTCGGCGCTACATACACGCTCTTTGTGTTAACATTGGACTGTCGTCGGCGCTTCATACACCCTATCTGTGTTAACATTGGACTGTCGTCGGCGCTACATACACCCTCTTTGTGTTAATATTGGACAGTTTCAATATCTGTTCATATCACGAAGGCTATTGATACAATTAAGGACAGTGGTGTCCTTAAGCATACTTAGCATGCTTTTGTACAAGTGCATGCATTACAGGTGTGTGAAATATGCCCGAGTAGAATTTAGTCTCATTCGAATAATGTCGTTCAACATTGAAGGTGCGTTCCCAACACAGTCCCTGTGCAGTACGTTTGGAGCATTCAGTATTGAAATGGATTAAGGTATTTCATACAGGCTCATGTCAGTGTATAAAGTATGAGACTGGCTATAACTTTTCCTCAAAATGATAAAAATGTGGAAGTTGGTTGGTATACCCATGTCAGGAAAAATGTCAATAATGACCTTTGCAGAAATTATTTGTTGAAAATATTGTTGACTTTGTTGAATGTAGAATTCTAGTGGCGCAAAATTGCAATGAATAATGGAATTAATGAAAAAACTTACCTGAACATGCATTCCTGAAGTATCCATTTATTGACTATTATCGAGAAAAATGTAAGAAAATGTGTCAAATCTCCAGAATAATAGCATATATTTCCACTGAATAAATCACAACTTAGCATAAAGCCAACAAGGCTGCCTGAAGTTGGGAAAAAGCATGCAAAGCAAGTGCGATTTTACCTGTGCAATGTACACCATTCAAAACACCTTCAGGTTCTCACTCAGGTAATCTGGCTTGACTTGTATCAATAGCCTTGTTAGCTTCATAAATTATTGTAAAATATCCAATGAAAATACATGCCATCATTCTTGAGATGTGAAGTATTTTCTTACATTTTTCTCGATAATAGTCAATACACAGATACTTCAGGAATGCATGTACAGGTAAATGTTTTCATGGATTATAATATTCAATGCAATTTTGCGCCACTAAAATTCTGCATTCAAAAGTTACTTTTCAGACAAAATCAATAATATAATCGACAATTAATTTTTGCAAAGGTCATTATTGACATTTTTCCTGACATGGGTATACCAACCAACTTCCACATTTTTATAATTTTGGGGAAAAGTTATTAGCCAGTCTCATACTATATACACTGACATGAGCCTGTATGAAATACCTTAAATGCAAATAATGTGATTGATTTATTGAAGAAAGTGATTACAGTATATTTCTGGGATTATATCTGTTAGAGAATGAAACTGAAAGAATTAAACCACACAATTAAAGTGAGAAAATTCAATATTTCAACACCACCTCCAAAATATTTTTATCAAAGATATATCACAGCTACATGTATATATCTGGATTATACACGAACATCTCAAGGGATGATACGAAAGAAATTTTGTGGACGTAAATTGTGGGAAAAATGCAAGATTTCAACTGCCCTCAACTCCAAAGTGTTATTGCCAAAATTACGAATTCAAAGGGAAGTACAACTAATGCTGGAAATGTGTCCATAAGTAAAGTGTTTGGATATGTATGCATTTATATGGATGTTTCATGTAAAAAGAGTGTTCCGTGATTCCAACCTTCTTTCAAGGAAAAAATATAGTGCATGGGAAATCTGACTATGGGAATAAAAATATCGGATATACTTCAGGAATGTTGATATTTAAATTCTGTGTTATATTCAATGCATATTTATTTTCACATTTATTCTATTACTATGGTTTCCATTGTATAGCATAACTATGTGCTCATTCAAAAGATTACCTTTTGCTGTCCAATATTTTCCTGTAGCTGTCCAATAATTTACCTGTAGATGTCCAACAAGTGGACTGTTGTGTACTTATTGGACAGCTACAGGTAATATATAGGACGGCTACATGTGATGTCTATGAATTCTGTTAGATATAGTACGCAAATAACAATGGCTGACATCACAGCTGTGTTTTAATGTGTTTTCTATTCGCTTTAATTACAATGCTTCCAATATGAATTATGGCCTTATAACATTACACAATGCCGCGTTATTATTGCAGTCCTGTAGTGTGATATCAATCCATTCCACTTCGCATTCCTACACAATACCACATTAACAACTACAAACAAGAGTAACACACACGTGCATTCTTTGTGCATGTAACAGCTGTGGAAAATACCTGCATGCACAGGATGCATACAAGTTTCATGCACGTGTTCATGTTTATCATAAAGTATTTTAGTTTGTAATAGATTTCTAATCACACGGTGTATGATCATATGTGAAACCAATATAAAGATAGACGACTCAAACATCTTGAAAACAGGTCCAAGGAAGGAAAGAAATGCATGAACTCATCTTTATGAGGGTGGTTTTTTAACAGTTACAGAAGGTCGTGCATTACGTAACATGGAGCGAACTAACCTTTAGATTTATCCCAGAAACAGTTATCACAGCTTTGCCTGGCTCCGTCTACCTTCACACATGTGTAAATCCCAAAGGTACATGACGTCAGACACATCACAGAACCACCACACCATCAAGTGTGTCGTAAGTACCAGGTTTCTCACATAATCTGTCTTTTACTTTATACATTCCTTACAGCAAGATCATTTTGCAGTTTGATTAAACGTTTTACTTATATTTCAAAATTGGAACATTCTATACGTGCATCCTCATCGGAACTCAGATCTACCACAAATATTGCTGAAGCTGAAGGACTAGGACCTGGCAGATCTAGACGTAACACTGTAACACCGACAAACTTACTGTGGTAACACTGTAACACCTATCACAAGGTCGTTATAACACGTAAACACAGGACCAGTCCCATCCTGCTTTAAAGACAATTGTATCACCCACGTGTGTACATAAGGAGAAGGAGAAAACCTCTCGTGCCGTGTGGCAGCTTCGGCAAATGTAACGGCATCTCAATTAGTGGAGCCGCGTTGAACAGTTTGTGTGCCGATGTCATGCATTTCCTCTGAGGAACAATGATGTGGCCATAAAAACGCCAGGCAATGGTTCTCACTAAGTACCGAAGCTGATGTAAACAGCCAAGCCAAGAGATACAATGAACAACTATAGCTGTAAAGGTATTAATGTAAACTTTCTATATCGCTCCTAACTACATACATCTTACATACATTACTTTGTATACTGTCAGAACATTTAGCTGGTCATACTGTAGGGTCTCGGTGTACGTAATACTCACCATGACAGCTACCCTGAGTGAGCCTTGTCATTACTACATACGATACTACTTTGTATACAAGTATATGTACATGGTGCCCCTCTGTAGCATCGCACGCACTGAATGGATGTGGTTTCAGAATCCTAACCAGCATCCCGTTTACATCTAGCGTTATCATCATACCGTAGGACTGATATAATATTTAAAACGGCAACTAGCCTTAGGTTAAACTACTGATTCAACTTACATACAATTTAACATATCTTTGTATATACTGCAAGATAGTTCAGTACCAGCGGAGGAATGTTCGTAGTTCGATAGATACGCACGCGGTACTCCTGTTGTAACGTTTTGTCTACGTCACACCCGCTGATAGCCGAGGTCGAGAATTACTGGTACTTGAGTTGAACTCTTTTTGATTAGCATCAAAGAGTGGGGTAAAGTTGGCCACCTATTGTTTCATTGCGTTTCTCCTACATTATCTTCTTCAATGTCTTTCTGTGTGTATGGTAAAAAGTGTGTTTATGCTGTCCATCTGGTCTGTGTTACCTAAGGATGTAGGCTAACCGCGGCAGTAGTGAACGTACAATGGAACATAACGCAAGGTAACAATTCGATCACTGATGTTATCGTACATCATTTATACAGAAAACTGGAATATGAGCCCGTTTTAGGATTTAATATGATCTTCGAAAAATATACACAACAATACTCATTTTTTTCTGCACAAATTGTTATAAAAATAGATTATTTGATATTAGGAATGCAAGCTAATGAATTGTTTAATACACTAAATGCATCGTTACGTTTCAATAACATATAAAACCAGTTTTCAAACACATAAATAAACGTCAAACATATAAGTACACCAGTGCCACATTGTTTTAAGCACGGATAAGTATAAATTCATAAAATATACAATACACACTGTATTGATGACAAAGCCGTTAACGTAATGTCCTCCCGCTGTCATCATTGATCAACAGTTGTGTTATTCTTGCATCAGTGGTAAGATTATATACAGAAGCGTAGCCATCATTCTGTTTTACATGGATTTACACATTCTACACTTACTGTTTCTGTATATGTTATGAAATACATGAGAAAACGTATACTATTCGCCATTAGAATACTGAACAAATTTATAATTATTTTGTTTTTTGTGTAAACATATTGACAGTTTGGACAAAGTGAAAAGAAGTAAGCAATATCGACCTGAACGTTTGTCGTAAATCTACGGTAACTAGTAGTCCTTTCTGTCAATCATATTAATATTTTAAATCCAGCAATCTACTTATACTTTGTGATGAGCATACTTTGCACTGCGAAAACAGGCAACAGCGAATACATATAGTGAACGTTTATTCAGATACACCTTTTAAAATGAGGTATAGCTACTTTGATTGTATTGAATAAACATTCTCACAAATACGCCTTGAGAAAAAACAGTGGCGAAAAGAACAAGAGAGTTAGAAAGTGTAAACACACCTCTATGCGAACTCAAACTTGACAACACTATAGCAACATATCAACATTGAAGGGATGTATATGGAAAGCAATCAAAAAAGGATAAGGAGCTTCCTAAAGGTTAAGCTCTTTCTCCTTCTTCAACGACACCTGTCATGTAATCTAGGTCAAATCCAAGATCCAAGTATTCGCAAAATAAAAGTGATTTGCAGTAGCATCACTCAAAATCTTTCGCAAGTATGTCTTCGTTGTTTTAAGACCATGGTTATTTTGAGTAGCCAATGATACACATGCACATGTACTATTGTCAAAATCCAGGAATATCGCACCAACGTGACACATACATTGTACAAAAAATAATATTGTGAAACTGACACCTAATGAAAATAGTCACGATAACCGTATATGTCTACACACACAATTCCGCCGTCCTCATATGACCCGGGCTGTTGTCTCCCTACGCACCCTCCTCATATGAACCGGGCTGTTGTCTCCCTAGGCACCGTCCTCATATTACCCGGGCTGTTGTCTCCCTACGCACCGTCCACATATGACCCGGGCTGTTGTCTCCCTAGGCACCGTCCTCATATGACCCGGGCTGTTGCCTCCCTAGGCACCGTCCTCATATTGCCCGGGCTGTTGTCTCCCTACGCACCGTCCTCATATGAACCGGGCTGTTGTCTCCCAAGGCACCGTCCTCATATTACCCGGGCTGTTGTCGCCCTACGCACCGTCCACATATGACCCGGGTCATATTACCCGGGCTGTTGTCTCTCTATGCCTCGTCCTTATATGACCCGGGCTGTTGTCTCCCTAGGCGCCGTCCTCATTTGACCCGGGCTGTTGCCTCCCTAGGCGCCGTCCTCATATGACCCGGGCTGTGGTCTCCCTAGGCACCGTCCTCATTTGACCCGGGCTGTTGTCTCCATAGGCACCGTCCTCATTTGACCCGGGCTGTTGTCTCCCTAGGCACCGTCCTCATATGACCTGGGCTGTTGTCTCCCTATGCATCGTTCTCATATGACCCGGGCTGTTGTCTCCCTAGGCACCGTCCTCATTTGACCCGGGCTGTTGTCTCTCTATGCCCCGTCCTTATATGACCCGGGCTGTTTCGAGAACGTTAAACTACGATGGCCAACAGCGGCCGACAAAACACATATAATGCTAACTGAGTTTTGTACTTATTTAATATATGTAATTGAGTACAACGTGTTTCGTCATGACAAATACTTTGTACAGATAATTATGTACAAAATAAGGCAAGTGTTCCTTACGAACGAATTAAAGTGTGTTCGACTTGAGCTTTACCAGGGTCATATTACGTATGCGATGTAGTTTTACGGAATTTTCTTTTGTTTTGCCTGCTGGTGATTCTATTGTGTCACCCTTAACATTTTTGTTTAATATGTCAATTTCAAAAGGAGTTTTTCCTTCTGAGTGGAAAACGGCCAAGGTCACCCCTATTTTTAAAGCAGGTGATTCTACCTTAGTTAACAATTATAGACCTATCTCTGTATTATGTGTCCTCAGTAAGATCTTAGAGAAGCATAATACATCGTATGATTTTCTTTCACACAACAAACTTGTTAGTGATTGCCAGTTGCTTTTTAAACAGTTAAAGTGGCTGCCAATAGAAGATTATTTTATTTTTAGGAAAGCTGTTCTGGCTTACAAACTTTTACATGGGGATACTCCAAGTGTTTTAAGTAATATGTTTACCTATGTCAAGAATATCAGTTTTAGAAATACAAGGTCATCAGTTTCCACCAAGTTTTATATTCCCACTGCTAGAACTAATTATTTTAAACGTTCATTTGTATACACATGTTCTCTTATATTGAAAGGATTGAATGTATATATTAGAAATGCGTGTAGTGTTGCTGCTTTTAAACGCAAATACCTACAGGATTTCTTTTTTATGATATAACAATATTCTTTTTAAATAAGTATTGGATTTGTGTTTAATTTAATCTGCAAATGTCTTTTTTTGTAGTTTGTGAGTGTTTTTCTGTGATATCTGTAAATATATTGATGCAGGGCCATATTGTAAATTAGACATATCTAAATATGTTCCCCTGGATAAATAAAAGATATTATAAGATATATTTAATTTAAACATACGGCATTGCTTCAAACATTAAGGACGAGGATTGAGTACAAGTAGCAACAGCTTATAAAAGCCATTTCCTCAAACTGCAACAACATTGTGAAAGCGACAGTAAACGTAATTTCTTAACAAAATCATACCAACTGTACTACCAAAATGTTGTTGATTATATAAATGTATGTCAATACATAACTTTGTATAGGGGCACAATGGACTACTATCTTATTACCACGAATACAATATATTCAAATGCTACGATTTTAGAAAGCCCATCCATCAACGCGAAAATTATTTTCAATATTTGGATGTTTCGGAATATATAAATTCAATTTTCATTATCAGGACTACCATCAGAATAAGGAATTCAGCCGATGAGGATGACATACTAGGCATAATGCAACCAGTTAGAATGGGAAGTCAGATTGCAACGTTAGTAAAAGCGATAATATTGAGTGTAAAGTCAGCCATGCTTCACTAGGTATTGCGTAATATGTAATAGGTAATATGTATTGTCGTCTTATAGATGGAATATGCAGCTGAAAGGACGAGCTGGTATGCCTGTCATGTCATTGGGGTCGGAATAAAGTAATTAATGTCAAAAGTGGGCAGGGATATCAGTCTCCACTATCAAACATGAACTGGTCTGGTTTGGCCCGGTCTCATTATTAGTCTGGTCTAAAATTTGCCTGAACTAGTCTGGGCCCATTGGTCAGATAAATAAGTATCATATCCCAGGTACAATGCGGTCAATTACACATTCGGCAATCATATATCACAATACAAAAAATAAAGGGTAACACATTGCTATTTCTTAAAAGAATCGACTCAGCCATCCACGGGAAACCAAAGCCTGCCATCCCTAGCATTAGATCTCCAAGTTCAGATGTACATATGTTAAGTGTTGTAGACATGCGTGCTTTGGACCCCTAACTCAGGCGCTGGCGTGTCGAGGTTTATGCTTTCGCACATTCTAGATTTTGGGGTAAAAGAAAGTATTCCGAAACATGGAATAACTGCATAAACAATGGCGTGATATTTGTTCCTTTTAAAATCGGTTGATTCTCTAAAGGCTTTTAATTCTGGAACCGTTTTCGGAGACGATTGCTTTGTTTGAAAATTCCGCAGGTTTGTTGAGTTGTGGCTTTGTCGCTGAACCGTTTAACAGACCATTATTCACTTAAAGACCAAAACCAACGCATATCAACGGTTTTGCTCCAAATGTTTCCTTTGGAGGAAAAATAAAATGTGACATTATATCTATCAGGAAAAAGCCTAACTCCTGTAGATGCATTCTTTTGAGAATACCTTATAATCCAAATAAACAAACTGATTTGGGGAAGTGTTCCGAATTCGGGGTCGAATTATTCATCTATTAATACAATAAATA